CTGCACGACGCTCTTCCGATCACAAGCAACTTATGAGCAGGTAAAGTTTGTAATGGTGCAGTAGGGTGGAGGCTTGGTGGTGAGCTGTGAAGCATAAGCGAGGAATCGCATACGTCGAATCGAGTCGTCGAACGTCGAACCTTACCACTGAACCACCACGACCCAATTGCACCATTACAAACTTTACCTGCTCATAAGTTGCTTGTGAAATGCAGGTTGCAGTTTTGCTATCTATATTTGTAAATAACCTTATAGACTCTATCGATCTACCCAGGTCTCCATTCAAGTTCCATGGTACGTTGGCGGAATTCCCTGGTAAATAAAATCGGTTTAACACCTGGATTGTGGCTACAACATCGCATTGAGGACTTAGCGTATTGTATATACTAGTATTTGCGGCAGAGTCGGAATCGTTAAGGGATGATGTAGAAGTTGATCACCACGTATGAAATCCGATAAAGGCCCTAGAAAACATGAGACGCGGCGGTTGCATGTGTTTACACCCTCCGCCCAACGCGCGTCACGCGCGGCGCTTCTGACGCTTTGCCATTTCTTGTAGTCTGCGTTTACGAATGCGATTAAAGCGCAAGCTCCATGAAGGAGATGACAACCGAGGCGTTGTTCACTCTGCAAACACTGAATCAGATGAAAAAAGGGGATGGAACTGAAGAGCGGGATAGAAGTGAAGAGCAACTAGACTGATTCTGCAGCTGCTACGGGAGAAAGGTGATCGGCGTCTAATGTTGATCCCAGAATCAGAAACCTGCATCTGAAATGTGGTCAAAGGCGCACTTCAGTTTAGGAGGGAGGGGCCTATCTGTAAATTCCTGGAAGGTTACATGATGGTAATAATTTCATTTTCAAACCACTTCTTGCACAAATCAGCCCAGCTCTCAAGTGCTCGCCTCTTCTAGACTCGAGGAAAGAGGAGGAAGAAAGGCGTGAGAGTTGGACCCCAGATTTCGTAGATTTACAAGTTTACAGGATCACACGGCTCTCGTGAGCTTTCGTTGACTGCAAGAAAGCAATCGACTAGGTGAAACCGATGAATGGATAGAGTGGAGGACCGAGGGCGAAGGGGTTACTGCACGTACTTCGGGACTACTACGTGAACCATAGCACCCTGTTCCGCCCTTTTTCAGTGACGCGACGGTAGCAGCTGAGAAGCGCGTACGATGAATTAATACAAATATGCATGCTAATGTACAATATACGGATACAATCTGCTGCTTGTTCAGTCTTACGTCGCTGCAAGTACGGGTTCGAACAGTTCTTTCTGTTCGAGCTGACGCATGACGTCCTCGATGTGTCAAAGGGCTGGAAAAGCCTTATTAGTTTTTAAATCGTTGAAGACAACAGGGATCGCTGACGCGTAGCAGACCACTTTGATTCCTTCCCATTACCTTGATATACTTAAGGTCAGGACTGCCTTCGAAACCAGGAACCTCAGCTCTAACGAGAACGCCGAAAACACAACTGATTGACCACGATTTTTTGTTTGTTTTATAGTTATTTTATCAATCACCATGTACATATGAGTACTATAAGGTAATGACACAAAAGCCATTAAGTCGATAGGGAAGGCGGCCCGGAGGCATAATTGGCGTAATCCCCCAGTGAGCGAGAGGTGCTCGTGCGAGTCCCGCCTGCAGTCAAGTCGTTTGCTCATGGCTGAACATTCCTGTGATATTTGAGAAGGCAATTGAATTTCGCCCTTCTGACGATGAAAAGCTCATGTCAAAGCAATTATTGAAAGTGGATGATCGATAAGGAGAACCGGCGCCCTTAATGGTCAGTGCTCTGGACACGGAGCAGTTAGTGTATGATCGCAAACGATTCAAAAAGAAAACATTTTCAAGTGGCTCATGGCCGCTTTCTGCCAGAGGAGAGGAGAGAAGGAGAAGCACTAGTCATCTGCAGCCGAAGTCAACATGAATTCATACAATTCTGCTGAAATGAGGTTCTCCTCAGGCACCATGGCTATGGGAAAAGTCGCTCATACAAATGTAATCATTAGAGGGAAGGCGAAGGTACAGTAGGTAGGTAAGGTATATTCTGGCGTTCTAAGCTCCAAACGACTGCATTTCTCCGATTTGCCACGGTAAACATTTCGGCTGATTGAGCAAAATTATGGTCACTGCGGTGGTTCGCAATTTTTTTACTGAATCTCCTATCATTTTCCAGACGATCCGAAGCGAAAGAAAGTGGTAACCTACGCAAGTCGCCACTGATTTTGAAGATTCCGCAGAAGGACGACTTGTTGCTCAGGGTACCAATTGCGCAACCGGACAACTCAAACTCATTTTCCATCCCTGCCATATGGAATTTGAATATACAAAACTGCTGAAGGCCGAGTTCTGCCCTTCACTAGTCAGTAACATCCCTGCTCCTTGACATTTGTGCATGACAACGCTATCCGAGCATGCCGATCAACAACAAGTTGGACTGCTGTTCTAGAGCAGCTATATGCTGTTTAACTGTGATTCCGATAGAGGAACTGTGCTTAGTGAAGGATGTCTGCCGCAAGTGTTATGGAATAGCTTGGGAGATAAAATCATTGCAGGCATGTCAAAGACCTTCACAGAAAGACTTCTAAAAAGGGAAGCATAAATAATATGGCTGAGCTGCCATTTTTGCCTTCGTAACTACTCCCAAAACACGCGTTCGTATTCTGGCGGAACTTCGAAAATTTGTTCCCAAAAAGACGACTTATTTCATTGGAAATGAAGAAAGAAGAAGAAAACGATTAGGGCTTCTTGGCATGAGGTGTTGTTGGTGAAATAGCATATTCCAGAGCAGTTTATGAATATCGAGGGCACATTGTACAACTACCTAAGAGGTGAATACTTTCACTGAAGGAACAGGTCTTCAGCGGCAGAAAGGTAGTAAAAGCCGTTCAAAAGCGCGGCAACAAAGCTAGAGGCTTATGTAGCTCGATGTTACTTTTTTTGTGTCCGCCATTTTATATGCGATATCCGCGCCACAGTTACATCCTACGCATACGGTCAGACATGATTAGATATGCACGGCTGGTTATATGGCGTGCTGCGTTGTAGGGCTATGGCAGGTGGAGACATAAGAAGAGTGATTATTAGGTCATCCCATTCAAAATGTGGAGACGTATACAGGAATGGCAGGAATGTAAAGATGATAGAGCAAAAGGCTACTGAACCTTTGGAACTAGTAGCTTTATCTAACTATGTGTGAAATTTGGCTAGCCTATTCGCAGAAGAAAGTATAGAGAAATTGAAAAGAAGCCCGAGTGGTCAAAATCAGCGCCGGTTTTCGAATCAGAGTCATAAGAAAAAGTGTGCAGCTCAAATTTAACCTGTGCCGACCAGTAGTTGCGTGTTATGGTGTTCTAAATGTAAGGAGGAAGATTTGCTACTAGCCCGAAGAAGGAAGAAAGGAAAAAAAATTTGTCGTCGTGGATAGTCCCATAAAGTTCATCCTGCACAAGCGCTCGAGTTATGCCCGATGAATTAAGCATGGTCGAGAGGGTGTGCGCATGGGTACCTAATTTTCTTGTAGAAGCACGAACGCAGTACCGATTCTATACCTCTAGCAGTAATGTTCTCAGCATGAGATGTCATTCACGACTGTGAAAACGCACCCCGGCCCTAGATGAAATATGGGTGGTCTTGGACCTCGAGCCAAAACTCACAATCGTCAATTTTGTATGAATGCAGATGAGAAGCCGCCCGAGTTCTACCATGAGGAGTTACGTGGGCGCAAGTGGATGATCATCATAGCGAAGGATTCCCACACTGTGGCTTTCAGGCGGCTCTATACAGAGAATAAAATCGTCGCTGTCGGTGTATATTGCCTGTTCCTCGGATCGAAATTACCAAAGATCCAAGATTTTCGGCACGTTTGAATGGGTCGATAGGTAGTAGCAGAGCTTGAGGGCATCTGCAATGTTATGAGATGTCACTCAACGACTGTGAAAACGGCCCTAGATGAAATATGGGTGGTCTTGAACTCCGAGCCAAAACTCACAATCGTCAATTTTGTATGAATGCAGATGAGAAGCCGCCCGAATTCTGCCATGAGGAGTTACGTGGGCCTAAGTGGATGATCATCATAGCGAAGGATTTCTGCACTGTGGCTTTCAGCGGCTCTATACAGAGAGCTGTTGCTCATCATAGTTCCAGATCCCGGCAACTGTATTATAGGGCCAGACCAGGAAACAAGCGACTTTATGGGCGGATGGGCGATTCAAGCCAGGCCTCAGTATTGCTTGTAGTATACAAGCAATACTGAGACCTGGCTCCTAGAGAGAGTATAAGATTACATAGATATTAGATTGGGGTTTAATCGCCCATTCGCCCATCATAAAGCCGTGCGATTCCAACTGTTCTGGTCAGTCGAAGGTACTCTCCGACGGCAAACGCTACAACGTTTTGTCATTCGCCGAAATTGGCATCAACAGCAATTTACTCGCACTTGTTGAAAAACCGAAGGTACCAGAGGTCCAAAGCTTTCGGGGCACTGGGAGCAGGTCATTGATGAAGGAGAGGTTTACTCAAAGCCAAACTATTGCTTTCATCTGATCTCCTCTTCGTTTTATATGAATATAACCTTCCACATTTTTGAATGGGATACCCAAGATAACAGTTATCTAGCTTAATTTTCACATATTTTCGAAGGCGGAAATTTACTTCTGTGCACCTGCAGACCTCGCATACGGGAAGAGGTGAGATGTAAAGAAAACAATGAAGAAGGACTTCGGGCACATGCAGGGAGAACGCCGTAGTGATGAAGTAGTCGTCAAGTTAAGCACCTTTGCTAGACTGTTAGTAAGGTGTCCTGATATGCCAAAGTCGCATATTTTTACTTGCCCATGTCGATTAAGCAAAATATTTGACGGCTTCACGTCACGATGTATCAAATTCATGTCTTCTTTCATGAAATTAAGTCCTTCAATGACCTGAAAAAAGAATTATCTAAGCGTATACACTTAGTTCAATTACCTGCTCACACATACCGACAATGTCACTCTTGCTATGAAAGGTTCAGGAAGCCTTCTTCCTAGAGCTTTGCATTTTTTATAAAACTTGTCGAGTGAGGTATCCATCACTTCCATGCAAATCCAAACATCACCCTCGCGGAACATTGCACCGTAGAACCGCACCATCTGATAATTTATTATTGTTAACTAGTAATCCTACACGCTAGACAGACGGAAGCACCTCTCAACAAAAATCATCATCATTCATTCATCAATCTCAACCATCATCAACAGTTCTCGATCATCACCATCAGCAGCAGCTCTTTCATTCACTACCAGCATTTAGCCAAGGCCAGCCCAAGGCCACCTGTTATAGCGAGTGAGAAAGTTACCCTTCAGAAGCGAATTGATCTGAAGTCCGCGGTTAGGTGGAACACATTCTTTTTCAGTTCAAGGTGAGCGGTTCGCGGTGCGCACGTTGTGCATATCGTTTCAGTACTGCAGTTCAATGCCTATCCTATCACATCACATCCATTACTATATTGTACGCATTACTCGATCGCTAAACATAGCGAAGATGCAACCCTTGGATGATCCCTCTACCGCAACGGGCATTAGTCGGATTCCTGAGTTTCTTTGTACCTTCTTGCATGCAATCCAAAAGGAAATGAGTGGAAATGAAGATCGACCATTTAGGTTCAGAACTGCTTACAGCTCTTCGTAAGATGGTATGCCAAAACAAGAAGAGTCTACGAAATAATTCCCCTCCCCCCCCCTCCCTCACCAAGAAGAATCAAGCCGTCCTGTCGTCATGTTTGACGTCTCTGTGAGTGCGCAAGAGACCCCATCCCCTTCTCCGATATCATGAGCACTGGCCTTTCCAGCGCTAGATGATATTGGACTTGGATATGTTTGCATTGCATTGGCCACTCGCGAGGCTTCCTAGTGATCCCACGTTCCGAGTCCCACTTCCAACCAGCGCTGCTGGCGTCTTTGGCCAAGGTCGATCACTTTTTGGAAACTCTTGCATACCAAAACATCTACATCTTCGGGACTCCCGACTGGTGAAAATCAGCGCCAGATTTTCGAATCAGGCGTCATAAGAGGAAAGTGCGCCGCTCAAATTTGACCTGCGCCGGACCAGTAGTTGTGTGTAAGGTGTTCTCGAAATACAAGGTGGAAGATTTGGTTCAGGAGCCCGAAGAAGGAAGAAAGGAAAAAATTGTTGTCGTGGATGGTCCCATAATGTTCATCCTGCACAAGAAAAAAAGGTGGATGAAGTCAAGCTTTGTTTGCCGTGATCGCAGAGGTTGGACCCTTGTTGATGCCCGCGAGACTGACATCCCTGCTGCAACTGCTGCCCGAGTTATGTTCGTAAAGTGAGGAGGTTAAGAGGGGGTGCGTATGGGAACCTACTTATTGCAGAAGCACGAACGTAGTACCTTCTATGCCTATAGTAATAATGTTCCTCAGCATAAGATGTCATTCACGACTGTGAAAACGCACCCCGGCCCTAGATGAAATATGGGTGGTCTTGGACCTCGAGCCAAAACTCACAATCGTCAATTTTGTATGAATGCAGATGAGAAGCCGCCCGAGTTCTACCATGAGGAGTTACGTGGGCGCAAGTGGATGATCATCATAGCGAAGGATTTCTGCACTGTGGCTTTCAAGCGGCTCTATACAGAGAACAAAATCGTCGCTGTCGGTGTATATTGCCTGTTCCTCGGCAATCAGATCGACAAATGGATGATACCACACAACTACAAGGCCACCGTTGCTCGTCACAGTGCCAGTCCCCGAGTATTCGTATTATTGGGCAGTGCTAGGACGCAAACATTACTGTGATCTGGGTTCATTCGCCCGACCTACAGCCATTCAGTTCACTTGGTCTGGTCAATGGAGGGTACTGTCAAATGGCAAACGCTAAAACGTTTTGCCGTTCGCCGAAATTGGTGTTAACATTGGTATCGCACTTGTCAAAAAAAAACGAAAGTATACCAGTGGTCCAAACGCTTTCGGGGCAGTGGGGCTGGCCGCTGATGAACGAGGGACCTACTCAACTTGAAGCCAAAATATTACTTTTTTGTCTGTTTTCTCTTCGTTTTATATGAACAAAACCTTCCACATTCTTGAACGGGATGACCTAATACTTACAATTAGTTTGTAGTGGCTTGTTGGAGTTTGTGGCCCATATAATGACTTGCGAGGGCCAGCCGATGTACAAGTCAAATTTCTCATCCTCCCATACGAATATGGTACCAATTTACAGAAATCGCGGTTGGCTTGGGCGGAAGCCGATCCCAAATTTGATCCTCGGATCGTGCACGTGGTAAATGCGTAACTTACAACCACTTTACCCCCATTTACGGTAATGCTGGTAAAAAGCGCGACTGTTGCACAAAGCCTTGGCACCGATGGACTATCAATTCTAAATATGAATCTATCGTTTACTATGAATTGGAGACATTTGAAGTGAAGCCGTCAATATGAAACATAACACTGTAGCAGGAAAATTCACCGGAATTACACATAGAGGTTGCCCCAGGTGTGCAAGGGTTCACCGTCTCACACACATAGCACTCTTTCAAGACGCAAAAGAAGGCTTTCCTACCTGGGGGCAACAATCACTCCGCTTGCAGGCGTCGAGTTCAGTTAACATACGTTTTTGAGATTCATCATTGATTGAGGAGGAAATTCGCTGAAAACTTCGACAGTATCATCGCTTACTAGAACCACAACTATTAGAAATGCTCTATTTAAAGACAACCACGCGAATGTATAATGTGGATAGTGGGGTTTAGTCACAAGCTTAGAGTTGCTATATGACCCCGGGAAGAAAAAAATGAAAGACATCATGGAGAACACCCTATGTAGGAACCAATCAGCCTCTTTGAATAGTTCTACGGACCCGTTAGTTCTATGCCAGCAAAGGGAGATGCTGCTACCTCTTGCTCACTAATTGTTTCTTCCCGTCATTCAAAGCTAGTATCAACCACATTAAAAAAAACATTAAAAACTGAACTCGTCTGACCGAATTGATGGAAACCTTATTTCCAGGGGTATAACCTCATTCAAATACATGGAGACCTAGGCCCCAGATGATACATGGAGACCTAGGCCCCAGATGACAAAAACGAGATCAAGCTGAATAAAATTCTGAGCGAAAACTAAAACTGCAAACAAAACGAGCAGGAAATCAAAGATAGAAAGACCGCAAACGTATTCTTAAACGTTCCTAGCGTTCGAAGAGAAAGGGCAGCTTACTCACAGGGGTCTTCCTTGGAAAATAGGGAATGCGGTCGCCGCGAACTTCTGCATACAACTCAATACACGCAACACGCCACCTAAGAACAGTACCTCATCGAAAGGTGCGTGGTCACATTTCTGACTGTACCACCTGTGCTCCCGTTGATCATCGAATTGCTCAAGCAGGAGCAAGTGATGTCTCCACTGTTCCTCGCAACGTGATAGAGGTGCGCAGGAGTTCTCTGTGCTCGAGGAACACCATGAACAAAAGCCGATGGAGTACGAAGCTCGATATTGTATCTCTCAGTGGAGTGTAATAGGGAACCCTGAGCGTCGCACTTTCAACGGCGCCTTGGATAACGCTGTTCTCCTGTCCATCCTGCTTCCGTAGAGCGTAGTCACAGCGTGAGTGAGGCTCATCCGACTCTCTGATCACGAATCTCTCGAGCGCCATTAACGCTCTGTTTCACCACGGCTCGAGAGGCGCAGAGCCTTTCATTCTTCTCGTAGAGAGCTCCCGTGAAGAAGTCTAGCCATCGAGAGGCAGTCAGCCCTGTATTTATTTGACGTCCCGTGGGACTCGAATGGTAATCTTACGATTATCACAAAATCGCAAAACATGTCCGGCTTACCTGATCATCGACTCCCTGACAAATGACACAGCGTCCCTGACCTCACACCGTTGACGGAGTTCGAAAGTTCGGATTCACCTTTGCGCAGAATGGTCATTTTGCCTACACGGAGTCCATGTCTCTGAGGTCTATGCTGAAGCAGTTAGAACAGCGAAATCCGTAAGGTGGTGCGGAGCCGGCTGTTCTTCGTTTTCTTCCCCGCTTCGACCGCAACGCGGAACAAAAAAATTGGACGTGGAGCGCGATGCTTCCCTGTATTCGTCGCTACTTCTTCGAGTTCTTGAACGCTCCCCGAGCCACTCGCTGCCTCCTGCTTAGCTTCGGCGCCAGATCGTCCATCATTTCGCTTTCCCGACCCAGGTAGCCCATCAGCCTTGCTCAATGTCTGCTGTTGTCAACACGACGTCGTTAGCGAAGCGAAGATGATGATGGCTGTCAATCCTCACTCCCATGTCTTCTCAATTCAAATGACCGATGACGCCCTCGAGAGCACCGATGAAGAGTTGGGCGAGACGGTGTCACCCTGTCAAACCACTCTCCTCACGCAATGCTGACTGCTTTGCAGAATGATGAAACCTCGTGCGTGAAGTTGCTGTAGAACTCACGAAGAATACTCACGCATCAAGCAGGGACACCCTGATTGCTCAGGACTTCGATAACCGTTTCTGTCTTGACGGAGTACAAGGCCTTCTTCAGGCCGCTGTATTTCATTGTAGTATGTTATTGCCTATGTTATTTTCTTGCTGTAGGCTGGTCATTCGGCGCAAAACACATTAATCCACCACCATGAACTGTTGCTCTTGACGTAAACTAGCGAAGTGCTAGACTAGGATACGTCCGTCGTCGTTCACTGGACCCTTGTCAAAAACGTGGTCACATCCCCTTCATCCTCCCAGTATCTTGAGCCAATTGGGGGGGGGGGAGGGGATGAGAACCGGGACTGAAGTAATTTGGCAAGGGCAGTCGCAAACCTCAGCAGTTTCTTTATTTTTTTTTGCTCTTGTTCTCCTGTACTGCGGTGCCACGGGGTTATCCTCACCAATACAACAGTCAGTTTTGCTGGGGAGGAACAGTTGGCGTTTAATTGCATTCGCAGCTTTCTACTCTGGTTGGCTGCTTACTACATTCCTCTCCGAGTGGAACGGTGGTTTTCCGTCCTGAGGACCAAAAACTTGGACAGTAGAGGGGAACCACTGCCCAATTTTTTTGGATTTTGACTCAATGTAGGGACCGACAACCACGATGGACTTACGTAGTGAAGTGATGACTCAGAGCTCCCGCAGAAAATGAGAAAGAGCGAGCATGCAGCGGAAACTACCTTAGAACCTTAGGTGTGGCAGGAAATGACTGAAGACAATACCCACGATTGAGGATTGCGGGTAGCAGGTGCTCAATCATGAACCAGCAGTCCATAAATAACTCCCCAGTAGCAGAAGAAGCGAAAAAAAACCTTGGGAACACACTGAAAGAGATACTCTTAGTAGAGGGGCCGGCACCTTGGACGAAATTGTCGGACGTCGGCAAGCCCAATCAGCAGGATTCGACGTGCAATCGATTCCTGGCAAGAACACAGGAAATCACCCGACGACGCTCTCGACAACGCTATGTGGATACAATCTGTGATGCTTAGCCTAGGTTGCAGTCAGCGCAGCGAGTTTGTCGAATCTCTATCAGAAGTTTGTGAGAGTTTTCGATGTGTTTCAACAAGTGACGGCCAGTGAGGGGAGTGGTATAGAAGACCTATTCTAAAAACTTATGATGTTGCAGGACGAGCTGCTGGCACACGACTCGCAGCTAGCCCCGCTATGAGCCCTCGAGGAGCGATGTGAAACAGGAAGACTTTCCAGAGCCACTTCAGCACCAGTCCTGCGGACATGGAAATGGATGGTGAAAATCCAGAGAAGTCTGGTAATACGCTTACTATTCCATGGTGTTCTAGGTACCCAGGGTGTCGCTCGTCAATCCCCGAGAAAAAGAACGCAACGTTGTTGATCCGACTCTCACACAATTAAAGGCAGTCCCGACGATCAAGTGTTCCGCGAAATGCCTCCGTGCATTTGGCATCGTTGTCCGCATTCGCAGAGAATATACACTTTCTTCATTCGAACAGCGAAATAAAGCTAGAGACGCGTGATTGCTGCAATCATTGCAACCATGATTACTTACCCTCTGCAGGAGCCGATGTCCGACAAACTCGTTCAAGGCGCTCATGCTAAGGGGATCTCTGTTCAGAGTGTTCCCAAAGTTTTTTTTTCGCTTCTTTCTCTACTGGGAGTTACTTATGGGCTACTGGTTCATGATTGAGCACCTACTACCCGTAACACTTGATCGCGGGAATTGTCTTTAAGCCAGTTGAGAAAGACGACGTGCGGAATTTTACGACTTGGAACTAACAGATACCGACTAAACACGGAGTTCCCACTTGTGAAAGTGGTATAGCATGGCAAGTGTGAGATTGAACGACAGTGCCAATAAATTCAGACTTCGGCTGCGTCCAGTTTATACACTTGTCTGTTCCCATAAATCAAACACAGAGAAGTAGCAGTTAAATTTTTCCCTATTCAGAAAACGAAGGAGCATGTGCACCATTCCGATACAAAGGTACCTCCTCGCCCAAAGAAACTTTGTTTAAATTGAAACAGATGTCATCGTATGCGGAGCAAGTGGTTGCAGTTCCTGACCTTCACGGCCATCACGATTCCAGAGTGTCGATGGCGCATCTTTTCCACAACTCCATAGCCACCTTTTCCCAGTTCCTCGAGAACCTAGAAAAAGGAAAATCGCAGTAATTTTCATCAAAATACATCCAACCAACGTAAGAACAAACTATCCTCTGCTGTGCCTGCATTTTCTAATCAGTGCTACATTGTTGGAACAAACCTCTAAATCTTTAGCCGCGATCTCAATTTCTTCCGAATCGTTTGTGAGTCTGAAAATAAGACATTAGCAAGAGGGAAGACTTCAGAGTACTATGGAACTTTGAACGGAGATCAAGCATATCGATAAGGCTTGCAATACTGCTTACAAATAGAGAAACCAAAATGCAAGCGAGCTGTGAGCTGTCCAGGTTGTCAAACTCACTCGAAGTTGTCCTTACAAGATAGGTCGTTCAGGACGTGAAACCCTTTTTGAAAACGCTTTTCTGCATGGTGAACGAGCACATGCGTAGACCAGAAAAGTGAGGTTCACTTTTGCTGCGCTTATCTGGGATAAACAAAAAAGCGTAAAAAGTAGGTTAATGGTTCGGATCCCCACTGGGACAAAATTTTGCTCCCTGACCAAACCTGAGTGACGCGAACTGATAACAGGTGATTTGATTTGATAAGAGGCGGGGGTCACGAAGTCCTCAGCGCTGTCACAGCGACAGCAGTGGGTTGGTCCCAAAACATAAACAACATAAAACATAGTTCAGGGTATGGCACAGTGGTGGGTGCTGGGCAGTGTTAGCGCTGATAAATGATAATAGCACCGCACATCAACATATGCATTCGATTATTCGCCAACCTGAATCGACCGGTAAAATATCTGGACTTCTAACAAATGGTGCATAGTTTTATTACAAATGAGGGCTATTGGAGGATATATTCCCCCAGTACCGGCTTCAGAGCTCTCCACTAGAAGGCACAACTTCACTAGAAGACACAACTGCCATCTATGTCGAAGTCTGATTGGCAGCAGAAAAGGCCAGATTACTAGCGAAAGTTCGATGTCCGTGTCACTGTGACTATTACTAAGCTCTGAGTCTTTTCCTCCTTCTACCAGTCAAAGCGCACTCAACGCAGCTCTTCTAGAACGGTTGTGCTTCTCATTCACGGCCTATATGACGCATACATGAACTTTTAGTGGAAAACTGTAGCTCGCTCCTTTTGCACTGTTATCGTGTCAGACCTAATGCAACCGAAAAAAAGCTCAGAACCTTCTTAATTGTTCAACGTTTGCAGTGTCGTAGTAATCATGAGAGGACAACTGCATTTTGTTCCTTCAGTATACTTGCATAGCTTGCGTAAAATCTTTTGAAGCAAATGGGCAACCGTCACTGTGACGCATGTGTGATCACCAACCAGCTGAATTATCACCAACCAGCTGAATTAGAGATGCCATGAAAATGGTTATGAGGTGTAATTGAGCGCACGGTATCATGTCAGAGTGTGAAGTAGTGATATCGTGTCACGCAATTATCCCTTCGTAAAAGTGCGGTGGTTCTCATTTGTGAGAAGTCCGACCAAGAACTTCTCTACGACTCCAAATTGACTGAGTCAGATTCCTTTTCCAAGGGATTGGAGAACACCACAGCGAGGGTATTTCATGAACCATTTCATTTACGAAGAGACATTTTATATGAGCCATTAGCATTTAATGGTAATTAACGGTAATTAATTGAGAACAAAGTGTCTTCTTAATTTGTCTCGCTGTTTACTATTGGGATTAACATACATATGGTTAGAATTTCACACGGCTTATTTCAATTTATTTTCACTACCATTGGTTGCGATGTGCTATACCATTCAACTTCAACACGGCCAGCGTTGTTGGTGAGCCAGTTCTAACGAACCTATTGCGAACATTTCTCCGCAAAGGTTCTCTTAACTGTAAAAGTGCTGCGCTAAACTATGTGCACTTTCCGACTAACACCTCTATTATCCTCGGCCCTTTAAAGAAACGAATGAATGACCGAGGAACTTCTTTCAAAGTTTTAGCAAATACATCAACTGCAAGCGTTCAATCTATCTTATGATAGTCGCGACTGTAATTGCAGATCAAACCGATCAATTTGACCGAAGCTGCAAACCCGTGAATACACTTTCCAAATGGAACAGGCAAGGCAAAGAGGGCGACCGAGAATTCACGACAGTGACACTGCACGACAGCGCAACCGACGATTGCATGAAACTGATGAACAGAGATCCACCCGCTTGGAAGCAGAGTCCCTCCGTCAGGGGTGTAGACGTCTGTCTGAGGATACTGAAGCAAGGAACGTTAGGCAACGTGCAGACGCTCAGCGACACCAGTCAGTGCGTCAAATTGAAAATGCCGGAAGAACGAACTGTCCCGATTACTTGAAGATACGCAGCGCCACCGGGCGATACGTGCTACAAACTGATGACCAGCGGATCAGTAGTCGACTCGAAGACGCTCAGCGACATCAGCAGCGACGTAGCTTAGAAAGTGCTGAAAAAGTTCAGCTTGACGTGAGAATGACGAGGAACGTCACCGTCGCAGGCGAGGTGTAGAGAGCTTCGAAGAGCGGGCCTTGCGTTAAAGGGAAAAGCTTCAACGTCAGCGTCGTAGACGTGATCAAGAGAGCATAGAAGAGTATTCTGCTAGGCGTGCAGAAAACGCTCAACGCCAGCGAAACAGACACGAGTTAGAGACTGTAGAAGAAAACTCTGCTCGGCGTGCGGAAAACGCTCAACGTCAGCGAAACAGACGCGAGTTAGAGAGCAACGAAGAACACTCTGCTCGGCGTGCGGAAAACGCTCAACGTCAGCGAAACAGACGCGAGTTAGAGACTGTAGAAGAAAACTCTGCTCGGCGTGCTGAAAACGCTCAACGTCAGCGAAATAGACGCGAGTTAGAGACTGTAGAAGAAAACTCTGCTCGGCGTGCTGAAAACGCTGAACGTCAGCGAAATAGACGCGAGTTAGAAACTAGCGTACAGCGAACTACCCGTCGACTGCAACACTCTCAGCGGCAGCGTTCGAGGCATAGCCTAGGAAGCTCCGAAGACAGAACTGCTAGATTGCAAGCAGAAGCTGCACGTCGACGTCAGCGGCGCGTGGAATCAGGCGAGCTCATTGGAATAGCGTTACGTTCACGAATGAGTGAGATTCACTACCTGGGAGAGGTGAATAAAGTGTGTGTGAATTTGCGGACCTGAGCACTTCCTTGGCGTCTGAAGTGATAGCCAAGAATGACATCCAGGCACATTTTTAGAATGCTGCGATCTGGGTCCGATCAATTTGAATATGTTTGCCGGTTTCCTGGAAAGCCTCCGAGAGCTTTTCATTCAAAGGCCGGAGTCGACTGCAGAACATCGCCACAAGCAAAGGAACTTCCTGGAGAATATCAAAAACCTTAACTCAGCCTTAGCAATGGTTTCGATGGGAGCTCAGGAAGATATCCTTCGAGGGCGTGGTCCATACTGCTACAGGATTCACGGGCAAATCTATCATTGCATAGCCGGCCCACTTCACAAAATGTTGGCGAACGACGTCAGTATGGGCAGATTATTCTAGACACGGAAATGGCGGCTCAGGAACGTCTCGGAAACACGCGAAATGTTGACTGCGATCACAACTAATGTGTTTCCTCAGCGAGCTGTTGTCCAACATCAACGTGTATGCTGTCTTTCAAAATGATGAGGTCGAGCAAGCAGAAGTCGCATGTCAGCCGGGCTTGCGAAAACCGTGCCCCTTTGAGGACACGCATGGTATTCGAAGAAACCAATGAGAGAGGGCTGAGACGTCGTCAACACGACCTGCCGACAACAATGAAGTCGCAGTTGTTTACGTTGGAGAAGACAACGATGTGTCCTGTCACACGGAGCTTTGCTGTCCATCTAAGGAGTGCTTCTGGAGAGCAGCTTATGAATATTCGTGATATTGATAAAATATGTGACCCTCTAACATACCCTCTTCTGTTTCCAACAGGAGAAGGTGGGTGGGAATTGATTTCGATACCGGACGCGTTTAACCCTATTCTCTATGCTGGAAAGCTGTTACCAACGGTTCGCCGTCGATGCTTATGTTAAGATAGAGCAGAATCGCCTCAATTTCCAAAGAATGAACCAACTTGCCTTGCGCGCCGCGCGATACGCGCCCCGCGAACGTCGATCAGTATAAATGAGACCAGGATATTGCAGCGGCGTTCAGCATGTCTGCGCCGCAAGTTGCATTTTAGGCGGAGCATGGAGGAATTAGCCTTTCCCACGGTTGGATCTCCCATCCCCGCGCATGTTCGGACGGGGGAAGCGCTACGCCTTGACTGCTGGGGGCTCTTAGCCCCGGACATGCCAAGGTTGCGAAAGCGTACGTTGTGTCGTTAAATTACGTTTCCGTTGTAGTTTTTACCTCACCGTCTCACTTCTCCAGCTCCGTTACAAACTAGGACTTTGTACCCTTAGTTCAATCACGCGCCACATGTATTAATAGTTGTTGCGCTATTTCACTAGGTGTCGAGCTCTCTCTGACCCAAGCTGAAGGACCAATGTTTCTTTTTCAATCCTCTGGGGGTCAAGATGGGTTTGGCCAGCTACCATGCGCTCGGCCTGCAGTGGAGGCTCAAGCTTATGCCCAGTGAGGGTTTTTTGGGACGGGAGTGTAGCGAATCGCAAGGATCGCTCCCAGGAAATCCCTCAGGGTGGGCTGGTGCTCAAGCCGCGATGCTCAACTACGACCTACCCGTGATCGCGAGGCAACGAACACCGATGACACCATCACGGCCCTACCGGTTTAGTTCAGTATTATTGACGACTGCGTAAACATCGTGTCTTTCTCCTCTATCCCATGATACCTTTCGTATACTACACCTCTCGGCCCTCTGAACTGTTATTTCTGATGTATATTTAAATCTCTCCCGATCCAACAGCGGCGCAGGCGTCGGCCCGAGGTGAGTTATGTTGTTGAAGTATTGTAGTGTTATGTTACCAGTTTGGCTGTCGCGCACTACTGCGCGCATGGACGAACAAATGTTACTGATCACCGATAGGATTTCTGTGCTGATATGTAATATGTTGATTATTCGCATGTTTCGAAAGACTGTCTATTTCATTACGTTTCTCCTCTTTAATGAACATTATTCAATGACCGGTTCTTATCACATTTCTAAAAACACCCACCGTTCGTTATTAGGCGGACAACTTAGCGGTAGAAAAAGGGGTAACAATGTCGAAATCATAGTGAAGTGTCCTTACATGCTACTAATTCCCTTGAGCAGCTTTCACATATCTGTCTGTTGGTGGCTCTTATCAATTCCTCAATGGCAAACAATTTAGCTATTACTTTTTGTCGAAATCGTGGATTTAGCGGTCGTTCCAACTACATCGCTGAAGAATAGGAACATCTCACTTACTAAGTCTTTGCCCATTGATTCTTGGGCTACGAAGATCGAGTTCAGAAGCAGAGAAAAGATGCGAAACTCTATCACAACTTGTCTCCCGAAACCAATACCTCCATTCAGTGGTACAGAAACATAAAACTAACGAAAACGATAAACTTCATAGAAAGAAGAAGAAGGAGGTTATCATTTCTCCAGGTGCATTTGAAAAAGGGGCGAAATTTGGACTAGTCTTTTTTGTCGGTAAGGGAGGACGACATCTTTTTTGAGCGAGCACTCGCTAGGAGTCGAC